AGTGAGAGAGAGAGAGAGAGTGTGTGTGTGTGTGTGTGTGTGTGTATGTGTGTGTGTGTGTGTGTGTGTGTGTGTGTGTGTGTGTGTCTTGGGGCATTTGCTATAATAGAGTCATAAACAAAGTGGTATCAGACCAAAAGAAAAGGAGCTGACTGGTTGGAGAAATGGTGTAAAACATTCATCTACTTCAGCAGGAAGTCACAAGATGATCCCTGCAATTGAAAACGAGGAAAACAGAAATACATTTTTTATTTAGAAACAGTAAAGCTGAAAGTGGCTATCCTTGGTAGTGGGACTCAGAGATGGGGCAAGACATTGTTACATTTCATTTATATAAAGTCTTAGCACTACCTAATCTATGATTTTGATAACGAGTATTTAAAAATCAAAGATATGCTAAAAAACAAAACAAAACATAACTCACAAACATGCAGAAGTTTCTGTCTTTTAGGAGCCATAAAAAGTAGGAGGAAAGAACAGCTAACTCTGGTTTGGAGAACCCAAGATAGTTTCGGAGTTTTGAAGGACAAGTTGAAGAAGTCGGGGGTGGGCGGGGGGACTACCCTTTGGGTAGAGGCAAGCGGATGTATTTTGGCTAATATAAATGTTCAGCGGGACTGGAATGGGGGTGAGCTAGGGGTCTTAGGGAGGGAGACAGAACAGGAGATCAGAGAGTAGGGAAGAGCCAGACATGTTCCATGTTCTGCCAAAGAGTATGGAATGCATCTTGGAGGCAAGATAAAGCTATTACAGTAAATAGTTTTAAAAATTACTGGATTTCTGCTTTGGGATGGACTGGAAGGTGGCAGGAGGCTTTTGCAGTATTACAGGTGACAATGAGGGCCTTTCAAAGGGAAGAAGTAGACAGACAAAAGAAATTTCAGAAGTAGAACTCACAGCTTGTGGTGACTAATAAAAGAATTCAGGGGTGAGGAGAAACAACATTCAAAAGTGGCTCTATCTATAACAATCTAAAACTACTCCACAGTAAAAAGTATATTAAATAGTTTTAAAAAAACCCAAACTGGCTCTGAGGATTCTAGCTTGAACAAGTGGGATAACAGATACACTATGCTGTCCAGGGGAGGGAGCAGGGTATAGAAGAAAAAGAACTGGTTGCAAAGCCCAAAAGACCTCTGTCCAAGCCCTTGCCTGCCACTTACTTAATGTATGATATTCGTGAGTGAGTGGCTTAATCTTTTTGACCCTCAGTTTCCTCATTTGCAAAGGGGGATTGCTTATCAACCGTGCAGGTTGTGGTAAGAATTAGAGAATATATATAAAGCATTTAAGAACTTATCAATGTAAGAGATACTTAATAATAAATAGTAACCTTTATTTAATATTATTAAAAGAAGAATAGTTTTGAGGTAAGTTATAGACATGCTGAGTTTGAAATGTCATGGGTTTCCCAGGTGAAGAGAGTCACTGGCTACAACACTGGTCTGGACAGAAAAAGCACCACACATAAAAGAAAAAGTTGGTAAGCTGGACTTCTTCAAGATAAAAAATTCCTGCTCTTCAAAAGACTCTATTGTAAACAAAATAAATAACCAAGCCACAGACTTGGAAAAGTATTTGCATTTGCAAGTGATGATGTCAACATGGTATGAAAGAAAATTGCTTAATTTTCACTTCTTTTAAATTGTCTTAAAATGTGTAGAACAGAATACTGAAGTATTTAAGAGGAAAAGGACATGATATCTGAGATTTTCCTTAGAATTTCCCGGGG